GCGCGACAGTAGCAATTTACATTTCAGATAATTGGCTTGACATACAGTCATGTATCTTCTCTACAGAAGTCGCCAAATGCTACCAAAGCGGGGTCCTAGTGCACGTGGTGATTGTGTCAACCTCTCAACCTGATAACAATGGATTAGCTACTTGTGTGTTTAGGATGCGGACACAGTGTTGACTGATATTATCTAATGTTATCTGACACACACTTATACAACACCAGTAATGAACGGAAGAGGCTTTTTTTATGTGGCGGCAAGGCCGTGTGGTTAAAGCATCGGACTAGTAACTGAATGATTGCTGACCGTGTGGATTCAAACCCTGTCAGAGGCAATCTGTTGTTTCCTTGAGCAAGAAACTTTACACTCATTACTCAGTACAGGCTGGTTCAGTACGGACTCGAGAGTGTTGAAATATTTCTTGAACTAAAAATGTCTTTCTAGTTCTACATGATTTGATATGACATCTATATGATGAATTATCAGTACTTTGTTATCACACATATTACTAAATACTTTCAACATAAATATATGTGACAGTGCATACTTTGCATCATAGACCAAAATTCTGGAAACAAAGTGATCTCTCGGAAGCATTCATCACAACAAAATAACATAAGAATTGCAGACTCGGTTTGATTGAGTCTGTACATGAGGGATAATGGATAAGTGCAACATCCCTCACGCCCCCTAGCACCGGCTTGAGCGGTACTCAATTCTCAACACTTTATAGTGTTGGCATCAATGATCCCGAAGGACCAGAAAATATAACAACACTGAAGTGAAGTACGGGGCAACTTTTTACGGCTGCCACACAGCACTTGACACCTGCTGTTGTGAAGTACAAAATTCTGGAAACAAAGTGAACCAGTCAATTTAAATGTCCTTTTCTTTTCGTTGCGATTAAAATGTAAAAAGATGGCATTATGTACGCAGCTACGGTAATGTTTGGTGCATATATTACTTATCTTTAATCTAAGTGAATTGTTTTGCGTACTTTTGCAAATTTATAACTGGACTGCAGTTTATCTACTTACCCCTCACTGCTGTTGGTTCGAATCCCACCAGGAACTTGGGGGTCTACTGATGTTGACGTTCGTGCACGAAGGATCGGCAGAGGTCTTCCTTCATCAGTAAACCTGGACATTAGCAATGTATCCTTTCCCTAATCATGAGTAAATAGTCCTAATTATTTCGTGCACGAAGGATCGCCAGAGGTCTTCCTTCATCAGTAAACCTGGACATTAGCAATGTATCCTTTCCCTTATCATGAGTAAATAGTCCTAATTAACTGATGTAACAACGTTGTAATAATCTTTATCTCTCTTATTTAAGATTAGTATCAAAGTCCTAATTAGGATATTTAAACTCCTACTAAGGAGTGAAAAGTGAAAAATCCAATTAGACTTTTAGCATTCCTAAATAAACAAAGTCTTTATTAGGATTTTTTACTTCTCATCTCACTAGGAACATAAAATATGCAAGCCAAACATTTTTAAGATATTATGAGATATTCGACCGTGCGACCACATACACGCATCGAGGACATTTTCTTCTACGGAAAGTGACCGTGCGACCACATACACGCATCACAAAGTTCCCCTTCTCTTGGAGAAGGGGACAAAGACGTGTCCGCCCTTTTAAAAAAGGGCAGACTTAAAAAGTATAGCATCACCTTATAGCTAATGATAAGGAGGCTAAATTACAAGGGTATGCCTCAAATTGGTTTATATACAAGGACAATAATGCAAACCAATCGGGTTCCAGTTTTCGTCCTTTTAAGCTCGCTATGAAAATTTTTAAAAATTATATTTAATTTATTGGAAAATTTTGACTTAGAGCTTCTTTTACTTTTCATTTAATGTATATTACAGAATTTTTGCAGAACATGAACGTTTAAAAATGTTTTATATGGATTAAATATGGGAGATAATTTCACACTGTTTGCAAACATTATCCTGGGGGCAGTTTTGCTTAGTTCTACATGTATATTCGACTATAACCTACTTGTAATATAAGAAAGTAATGTGATGGGCCGCAAGAAATAAATGTATAACTTGAGCAACCGACAATTCTGACACTGGTAAGACTTGGCCTGCTGAATTTGTAAAATGCACTTTTCAAGCTTCTATTTTTAGAACTGTCTGCCAATCTGGGAATATCAAGACAGAAATTTCTCAAGTTATTCAGCCATAAAATCAAACGAAGTCCGTCAATTCCATGCTAGTTCACATTACAGGAAAATGTAGTTTCATACAAACATATAGTTTCCTATAAGCATGCTGCAGTTTCTTATAGGCATGTTGTTGTTTATACGCGTATAATTTCTTATCATCATGTAGTTTCTTATGATTATTAAGCATGTAGTTTCTTATAACTACAACTACAACTACAAATATTTTATTGCATTAAAACAACATGTTCCATAGCAATACAATTTTTTTTATACAAAGACATGGTTTACAGAAGAGCACAATAATATAATATATGTATCTGCATTAAAGATGACTATAGCTAGTTATTTCGCAAGTTTGCATAGTATATATATTTTGCTAAATTATTAATTATTGCTTTTGATTTTGCACATATGAGATTAACAAATTTCTGTTTAGTTGGCCACGTATAATAATATCTCTTTATATATTTTGATCTTAAGTCCTGGAATTTAGAACATATTAATACAAAATGATACTCATTTTCTATAAGACCGGCATTACAATTACTACACAATCTTTCATTTCTTACTAATCCATCAAAAATTTAGTCCATACAACTTTTAATTTGCATTTTATTCCACAAAAATTACTCACTGTAAAACCCATGTCTTCATACTTTAAGATCACGTGACGAAAAATATAAGCATGTAGTTTCTTATTCGCATGGATTTTCTTATAGGCATGACTGTAGTTTCTTATACGCATGTGGTTTCTTATTAGCATGTAGTCTTTTATTTACATGTAGTTTCTTATAAACATGTAGTTTACTTTTACGCTTGCAGTAATAAATAGAATCAAAGCATTTATTCACTAAAACCGTGGTTGAATATGATGTATTTAACGAACTGGTCAATTCTTTCCTCACTGCTTTTTTGCCTTTTTTTCTATCGTTGGTGTCTTCAAGGGATGCAACTCGTGTTGGCACTAGTAAAGAACTGTATCCAAAAGTTATCTTTCCTTATTTGGAGATACTCAGGATTGTTGATGTACTAGGTTATTTTTAAATAATCGTATATTGAATATCAATCTCGGGTGAGAACCATGTTAGATCAAGGCCTAAATAAATCTTTAAACTATTATTCATTTCTTTTTTTTCCCTTCTTTTCTTTTAATAGTTACTATACCGTGTCAAGTTCATTACAATTTATACAATTACTATTAAATATATCATTATACATTGTATAGTGATTCTATGTGATTCTTTAATATTAGCCTTCCTACGAAAGTGGTTGACAATTCTGAAATTCTAAAAGCCTCAACATGTATATATGGTAGGTAAAAGACTTAAAATACAAAAATGTTTGCCAAAGACATTGTGACAAACGTAAACGATAAAAAATCATTATTTATATTTACAAAATCGTCGGGAAATACCTCGGCATTTCCATTAAGTCTACAATGCCGTTATATGCGAATAAAACGGACGGGGAAATATTCCCATCTTGCATGCTCATATTCTTGAAAAATCAGTGTATAATCAAAGCACAGAAGGCGCTGAATTTTTGTATAGTGTCAGCAATGCTGTTTCCAGTTTTATAACTGTAGTAAATTGGCAATAAGGCTAATTGCAACACTGATATTCAATTCAATGTTTATTTGGCTTAAACAGTTTTTTAAAAAAAGGTTGCCTCATCTGGGATTCGAAAGCAATCGGGAACTATTTTTTCTCCCCTCAGAGGTTTGAAAATTAATGCACCTGTCAGTTGACAATATTAACGCAATGTTCGGCGTTGGTGTACTTATAAAGGGAAATAACAGCTTCGAGGAAGTCGTGATGAACTACTTTTGGATTTTGCAAATAAGCATATCAGGATCTGAAATTTCGCTACCATTATTTGTTTGGTCTGTTAATAAATATATCCTTCTACACTCCTTTTGCAAAGTTTTACTATGAATTTCAATTGAATAAGAGTAAGTTTGCAACAAAAAATGCTTCAAGTATAAGTCTGCAACCAAAATGTGCTTGAACAAGATATTGTTGTGTATTGAACTTTATCTTCGGACTTGCGAACTAAACCATTTGTACATCATTGACAGAAACTTATTTTGTTATTGTTAAATGCAGTTTGAAACTTACATATTCGAATAATTTGCCTGGCAAAAATTCGTTACCCGTTTCAAAAAATCACGTCCTTTTCATTTCCATTTCCATTTCACGTCCTGTCTCTTGTTTTACATACCTACGTCCTCGCGAGGCGTTTGACATTAATGGAAAAAGATAGATACATAGTGCTAATTTATGTGCGGTCAGGGTCTGGCCAAGACTGTCTGTGTGTAAAAATAAAACAGTCTGGACTATTTATTTTTATTGGATTCAACTCAATACAGGATTGGAACAGTACCTCTAGACGCTTGCAGAAATCATGATCACAAAATAGACAAAATTTATATGGTTTTTTCGCCGATTTTTACATTTTTCATTCATTATCATACATAAATCGGTGTGTAAAGATGAATTAGACATATTAAAGTTCGTTCCGCTGGGTAAAAAAGGCAAGATTGTAGCATTTTATGATTCAAGCGCCTTCCCCGGTATATACCCGAATACGGTCTTTAGTGTGGTGCTCCTATCCTTATTTTAGTCTCACTCATTTTTTATTTTGGTATATATTTTGTGAAATATCCCTACTTATAATCCCGTTTTATAAATGTGTCAATATTAAACAAAATCAATACCAAAATGAAAAATAAAATATTTGTTGTGTTCACCCTATTGTAGAAAATATTTAGTGTTTTACATCCTAGTTAGCAATCATTGTCAGATAGACGCTTTGTCTGCGAAACAACAACAACCATGGATTTGAAATGATGTTATTTTTGTATTTTTAAGAGTTACAGCTATTAATTCGAAGGCATATTGTTCATTATCAGGTAAAAACTTATTGCATGTGACATGTAAAACATGTTCCTACACTCTTCAGCATGTTGAATAATTTAACTGTTTTTTAAAATTTTGTAAGGTCTATTTTTTTCATTTTTTTTCTTTTTTGAAGTTCAATTTGTTAGTGTTAAATTAAGTTGATTTGATTAAGTTCAAGGATTTTATAGATATGTCAGGTATATTTATCACCCAGTGTATCCATGTATGTTCTTGAAGGGATCATTCTAATGCATGACAGGGACAGCAAAATTAATTGTCCTTATTGCCTAGGTGGCCCTAGTCCTATTGCAGCCATTGCTTTGAGATAATTTTGCTTCTGGATAAAAGCAACGTCATGTCAAAATTGCTCAAAATCCCATAGCACGTTCAGCAAGAAAATCTGGCAGAACGAAAAAAAATACAGCGTATATTTACAGTAATCAGGTAATTTTGACCTATTTGTGAACAAAAGTAAAAAATAAGTACCTTTAACAAAATGATTAAACTGTCACATCTGAAAAATCATGATTAAATACTCTTATTTAATTAAATTCCTTATACAGCCAATAAACAAATGGCCATCACACAATGCGTGAAATCTGATTGGTTTATTCAAATGAAAGCGTTTCAATGAGTCAGAAGTTTCAAACGAAATATTTTTTAACAAAATATTTGGCCATGCACCGCCAGCGAGTACGAAAACATTTTTCTTGCATATCAGACAGGATTATCTACTGTTTACACCGGTGCTAGAAAACTCTGTCTTACATCCCCCATGTAAGACAAGTCGCCTGCTTTAAATGACGTCTCTCACGCCCGCCTTTTATGAATAAATCGCGTTCTTGTGATGACGTCATTTTTCCGTTATAAATGAAGTTGTATGTACATACGCTACTATAAGAAAAAAGTGTGTAATGAGAATATCAGTTTTCATAATTTCTGTTCCAAAAATAATTGACATATAATATGCAAGAAAAAAATTAAATGCCGGCTGTTGGTACAGACTGGAATATCTAGCTCTCAGGTAACTGTTTAGCGGAAACACACCAGAGCCTCGTTACCGCTGTAAACAGTTACCCTCGAGCTAGATATTCCGGTCTGTACTGGCAGCTGGTGTAAGATTCTTATATTCTGTTCAAAAATTTGAAACCAATCTGTAAAGCACTTTAATTAAACCAGTATGGCCGATGGGCAAAAATTGATTGATGATTGTATTTCATTTTAGATGATAACTACATTGTTCAAACACTGAGTTTTTGCTAATGATTGAGCATGAAATTGAAAGAAAATTTGATAAACTTTTGAATTAAGCTTGAAAGGCAAGACAATAGACATTTTTTTATTTTTATGATGCTATGCGTTTATGAACATAAGCAATAACTTTAAGACGTCAGGCTCGACCAAGATAAACTATAACTAGAGCCCGCAACGTCTGATATATTAGACTAAGTTGATCCCAAGCCTATTCGGACATTCACAAGTGATTTTTTTACAAGAATTTACTTTAAAAATGTAATACTGACAAGAAAGCAAATTATTTCCAACATATTTCACATAACTATGCCTTATACTCATCAATTTTTGACTTCCCATAAATTCGTCACAAATAATGTAACGTTAATATCTGGAAGAAACGCTCATGCAAGGACATATGTCATCCGAAAACCACACTGGTATGTAATAACAATGGGAACTATCCTGACATTTTATAAACTTTACTTCGATTTAAGTTTCAGGGTTAAAAGATGGACTATAACCAGATACCTATGAACCCCTATGCAGGGGCAGAAATACAGGTAGATGCATCTCAAGCACCAAGGATGATCGATCCTAACATGATTGATCCAAATATGATTGACCCAACCATGATTGACCCTACTTTAATGAACCCTTATGCTCCTCCGGTATGTATATTTTTTTGAAAAGCATATAAATGTTTGGACTTTTTCCCCGATCTTTTTAAAACATCAGCAATTCTGTTGAACCTTTGAAATATATTTATATTGGCTGTATGTCTGTTTACCTGATTAGAAACAGTAACAATCCTATCTGCTTATAGTATTAGGAAGGCTTCGGTTTTCTTAAAAAGGCCTGATAACATTTTAATTTGTGTACTTTAGCATTGTCATATGTAACATTTATATTGGTATGTTGATATTAGGAATAAGTATGTTTTTGATATATTGTATTTGTTAATTGTTGAAGAATTAAAAGAATTTGATTATCAGAATGCCCTTTCATTCTGGATAAGGTTAATATGATATTGGCGAAGGAAGACCTTGTGTGCCCTTCCTTGCATTATTTTAGGCACAAGTTGACACCTGAGTAGAAACTAGAATCGCCAATGTTTCATTTTTAAGCTAGTGAGTTTGCTTCCTTACAACAAAATGCTAATTAATGTCTCTGACAGGATTCAAACCTACATGTACAGTGGTGAGGAGCAAGTTATTTAAAGTTAGCAAGCTTAATCACTTAGTCCTCTTAGACTGCATATTTGTCCTAGAAACTCTAGTTATTTTACTGGAAGGTATATCTTTAACCATTGGAATGTATATCTTTAAATATTGGGAATGTACTTTAATTTTGAGATATTTTGTGATTTTGTATAAACATATATTTTGAAGATGTTCCCTGGGGCAGAAGCAGCTCCTCTACCTAACCAGGAGTACAAGCAGTTACACAGTCTCATGGTAGATGGTGGTGATAGATTTGGTGTGTCATGTCTATGCTTTGATACACAAGAACTTCTCTGGATGGGAAATCAAGGGGTATATGTTCTAATGTTTAAATCTTTTTATCTTCCAGTTTGGTATATTTCTTACAAAATCAGGTTCTCAAACAGTACTAGTTTGCTGGGGTTTTTTTCCTTAGATATTTCACTTTTTCCTTATGATTTTTTTATACTTTTTCATAGTTTTTATAGCAAATCATTGCCCATAGTGTGTATAGAAAATTCGATATTATCAAGGATTTTATTATATTGTTAAGCAGTGAGTAGTGTTTTAAGTGTTTACTTTTTGGCAGCCTTTAACATAAATGTTCCAATAGGTTTCAAAATTTGGAAGTCAGAGACTGCTAAATCTCTGACATTGGAAGTCACATTATATAGGTGAAGAAGGAAAAGTATTTCATTTTTGAAGTCACAAACCAAATCAAGGAGTAAATGACTCCCATTCTTCCATTAACGGAAACCCTAAATGTATAGAGTTTTATCATATAATCATTCTTGAACAAGTATGAATAGAATATCTAAAACTAAAGGAATCCCATGTTATTGACAAGTTTGTACCTTTTAACAGGGTCATGTGACATCCTACTATGGACCTAGCCTGCAGAAGTACACATCATTCCAGATGCATCAAAATGAAGATGTCCGACAGATGGCGCCACTTAAAGACAGGGGAATATTGTCACTGACTCAAAGTAGTTTGAGATTGTCAGTAAGAAGGGGAACTTCACAGTTTACGTTTCAGTGAGTTTGAATAGTCACTCAGTTATTCAGAATCATAACACAGCTTTTCTCTCTTTGCCCGGTGAATGATAGATGGCAAAAACCTTTTTGCACTTACATGGGAATTGTGGCAGTATCCATGGAGAAGGAAAATTGTTTCAGAGAGGGTAAACCAGGGAAATTTAGAAATTAAACAAAAAGGCCATTTCATTTTAAATTGTAACGAAACAACTTTCTGATGTCATAATCATTTCAAGAAATGTGATTCACTCTTTTAGCAAAATCAAACTTCCATAGGTATGCTTTTTGGAAAGAGGAATGGGGCTAACTTTCAGCCTTTCAACCTTTAATTAGCCTTTAATAAAAGCACTGAAAAAACATGATACACATAGCATAATATACTTTTAATATTATATTTGTGCCTGCTTCGAAACATTCTAAAAGGTAATTTAGGTCTGATGGCATTATTTTTTTTTGGCATCCTAGGCTTAGTGGTAAAGGTCATCGATTTTAAACCACTTGCCCCTCACCTGTAGTTTCTAATCCTGCATGGGACTTATGGATTCTTTCTTGTGAGTAAGCTATCAAGCTAGCGTTTAAAACATTCTACTGGGGTGCCCATTCCTGAACTAGTAAAGCTTGAGTGTCACCATATGGCCTCTACTTTATTTTTATGACATTATTAACAAAAAAAGAAAGAAAAAATTTGTAAGCATGTAGATAGATTTAGATATGTATGTAAGTTTCCAACTCTACAGACTGTGATTCCGTGTTTCAGGAGTCCAGACATGCATGATATGCAGTGTATGTTGGTAACCAGTCCAACATCTCTCCTGATTGGTGGACATCATACAAAGGTCATTGACCTTGACCTTACAACAGTCACAGAGAGACAGAAGGTAAGATTGGGGAGCTGCATGAATAAATGGTAGACTTTTGAGTCAATTAAAGCAACATATCTGAATAATGCCAGTTCCTAAATAATGATTTGCAGCATGGCCGACAACTATACAATGTAAATGGTGATTTTGCCGATCACCTCTGTAACAGATGATTTGATTGGCTGGCTAAAAATATGTCTATTGGAAAAGTCATAATAGACTGAAATCAAATTAAGAATTGGTGACACTTTATGAAATGCAAAAGATTCGAGCCTAAGTCAGATTGGCATACAGACCATGTTTTGTCATAGGTTACGATAATATAATTATTACAATATTTATGTAAGGAAGGTTGATCATTCTACTATTGTATAATATATTTTCATGCAGAGGTGCTAGGGGGTGTGAGGGATGTTGCACTTTTTCTTTATCCTTCATGTACAGAATCAAACCAAGTCTGCAATTTTCATGTAATTTTGCTGTTTTAATGCCTCCGAGGGATCACTTTTTCCCATATATTTGTTTATTACACACACGTTCATGTAAATTTCTTGAATGTGTCTGGTTTTCACACCTTAAAACTGATGATCATTAAATGCAACAAACCTGGAATATGGTTCATGCATTTCAATATAATATTTCAGTTTGTTTGTTTAACTTGATGATTTTAGCTGGAGTTTTTATTCCCTTACAGTTTGAGGTGCCAGATCCTGGTTGTGCTATTTTAAGAACTACCAGCAAATGCATCTGTGCTGGAGACACCAGTGGGAAGGTAATTTTGAGCAATTGTCAAATTCATATAATATAAAATATGTAGTTTACAAGCACATACATGTATGTTTGTATTAAGTTTATGCCCCTGTACTGAAATTTTGCTATGTGTATATATATGTATATTCATTGTTAAACTTTAATCATTTAATCCTTTAAACAAGAAGTTTAGAACTTCTAAAGTAATTTGTTTTAAAGATACATAAATTATTCATGAGTATAATAAATAAACTGTACGCAAACTGTGAATACCCTAAGCTTCTTATTGTACTTGTTATATACAATGTAAAGTAAGTTTTGATTACTTTCCACCTTTACAATGAACTCTGCCAGCATCTGTAATATGTAATGAATTATATTTTATTATCACAGGTAACACTTTATGATCCAAATACTATGAAAGCTGAACATGTCTTTGATGCTCATTCAGGGACTCTGTCAGATTTTGATATCCATGGCAACCTTTTGGTGACATGTGGCTTCTCTAGCAGGTATATTGGGATATTGTTTTTATTTTAAATTTGACCTGCTGAATGGAGATTTTCCCAGTATTTGAATTTGGAACAATCCATTAAAATTTAAAGATTTCAGTATATCAAGTACAAAACCAACAGTATAGAACTTGGCTAGACTGCAAAGAAGTGCAGACTAGCTTGTTTCTAAAGGGGCAGAAAAAGGCTCAAATTAAATTGCTTGACAAGGCATATAATTAGCAGTTTTATGTAAGATGGCACATGCATATGATCATTATTACTATGTATATAGCTTACATAAGGCTGATGTTTCTGCTCAGTCTAGCCTAAAATAATGCTGGGAGAGGCAAACAAGATCTTTTTCCACTAGTTAGATGGAAAGTTACAATATGCCCTTTGTAGTATCTGCATTATCTTAGAACCAACAAAACAAATTTTTGATATTTTTTTTTAAATCACAAACTGCCGTGATAATTATTGAAGAGACTTGCAAGTAATTTTCCACTATCTAAACACAGTATAGTGTACTATTTGGCACTCAAAATTGTTCTTTGTGTTGACTGCATACCTATGTTCAACAGGGTAGGTAATCTAACACCTGACAGATATTTGAAGATGTATGATCTACGGATGATGAGATCTATGTCACCTCTACAGCTGATTATTGACCCCACATTCCTACGATTTGTACCTACATACTCTAGCAGACTGGCCGTTGTTTCACAGGTAAAGCTACTTGATGATGAATAAATAATGTTTTTAACTTTGTGCTGTATTTTGTTGTTAAAGGAACTCCACTGGGGTTCAAGAGCCTAGAAACATGATTTTCTTATATTGATCAACTTGGGCCATAGAACAGAAAGATATTACAACATGATCAACAAAATATTTTCAAAAATAAATTGAAAATTGTATTTTTTCATGCTATTCTTATCCTGATTTGAGTGAAGAGTTTCAACGCTTTTCAATTTTGGGTTATTTGGACTATTTTGCACAATTAGAATAATAATTCTGGGAGAACAAAGTGAGCAAATGATCTGAATGCGGATGCGCAGGCTGGTCTGGATCCATGCTGGTCGCAAACCCATTACGTTGGTTTTGTCGTGACGCGGCTCATATCATTTTTGACCCTGATAACAATATGCGGTATATTTTCCCTGATCTATGGCACTTGATCACATGGTTTGTATGAGTTGGCACCTGATCGCCAGACAACTTTCTTATTAATGTATTATAACCAGATGTGTGCAACTTCCAATTTTCTCTACACATAAAATATGTTTTTTATAGAAACTGTTTCCTATTTCAATACTGTTGTTTGTTTTCACAGGTTGGTCAGTTTCAAGTAATAGAGGCCACAGGGACTGCCTCTCTCAACATGTATCAGGTCCAGTGTCATAATTCAATCATCATGAGTTTTGATGTAGCAGCCACATGTCAGGCTCTGGCATTTGGTGACAGTGGAGGTACATTAATCTGATATGCTACAGTTTTTATCAATTCTTCTTTAGCAAGTTTTGACCATGTTTCTTCCATTTGCATAAATACTGTCTTTTCCTTTCAGTATAGGAATAAAAAATATGCTATTGTTTCTTTTTCTATTTCCTTTAGCAATTTTTGACCATGTTGCTTTCATTGGCATAAAAACAATTTGTTTTCTTTTCCTATCAGTATAGGTTTAGAAAATAGTTAAATGTTAAATATGCATATTCTTTAGTAATCTAAGATTACATTGGGGGTTACGATTCCCAGGCTGGCCAACTAAAATTACTAAACAGTCTTTTAAATGAGACTTTAAATCAAGATCCCATGTATGAGGGCTTAAACACTTGGCGCGCTAAAGAACCAGGAGAAGGTTCTACAATTGGGGCATCTTTCTGTATCTGTATCTTGCACAATCCTCAAAATCTAAAAATGACTAATATTCTTGTAGAGGACTCGCCCATATGGGCAACCGGTGGCATAAATGAATAAACTCAAATACACACAAAAACATAAGTAATCTGAGATGAAAAAAGCTGATATTGAACTTTTTGACTAGTCTTTCATTTTTTCATGCCAATATCGTCAGATTTGAACTTTTTTCAGAACAAAATGTTTTATGTGAGGTTTAAGATTTATTAAAATGCTAAAGTTATATGTAATTTTAATATTTTATCAATGTACATTTACTTTTGTCAATTTTTTGCAGGTTATCTACACCTATTTGCCACAGATGAAAATATTCAGTTTAATCCCTTTCATGAAGACACAGACCTTGCTGACCCAGTAAGTTAACTTTCATCAGTTACAAGTTCTCTCATATCAGTAGATAAATCAATAAATTTTTCGTTTGTTTGCTTTGTTAATTTTTAAATCACACCAACACTATAAAGGATAACTAAACAGTTTTACTTGTGGTGGAAGATGTCATGTGCCCCTACATGCATTATTAAGGCATAATCGGGCACCTGAGTAAAGCCACCATCCTTATACATAAGCTAGCTTGATAGCTTCCTCATGTGAAAGGATCCAAGTCCCTGATGTGGCGTGTACCCACAGTGGTGAATGGCAAGTGATTTGAAGTCCTCAATCTTAACTGATCAGCCATAGAGGCTTCACATATAGGATATGCTTATGGATTTGTAATTTATTAATTTAATACAAACTACATACATACTTGTGATGGCATTGTTAAGTTTATTTATAAGCATATGTGATAAGAAAATATATATATATAAAAAAAAATTTAAGACCTGTGCTTTTAAGTATTTACTTAGATTATAGACCGCCTCCATGGTCGAGGGGTTAGAGTCGATGACTTCTAATCCAGTTACCTCTCAGATGCTGTAAGTGCAAAAGGAACATTTATTAAAAACATAATCAGCTCATCTTCTATAATGTTCTTATCTTGTACTTTATAAATATATCTAAATATTTCAGGTTGAGCCTAGTCAGAATATTCATATCCATGACTTCTCTACACCTTACGCCATGGTTCCCATGAGTTATCCTGGTACAGGCAAACTTCTCTCTGATTGGCCAGAATACCTATGTGAAAAAGTTTACAGGTAACTTCTCCAGTTTTTATCATACAAGTAGATTGGACTGTCACATATACAGTAAACTTCACTTATAGCGAACACGGTTATAGCGAACTTCCGGTTATAGGGAACAATTTATTTTGGCCCGAATTTTGGCCTTCTTTATTTAATATAAAAATATATGGTTATAGCGAACACGGTTATAAGGAATTATCGCTTATAAGGAACTCATTTCTAAGTCCCAATTTAGTTAAAAGTACAGAAAATTACACTTTTATAACGAACTCCAAAATATTGGCTATCCGTAAATAGATCCTGCATTTTCAACGCACGGATTAAAACTCGGGCGAATGTACCGTTTATCGTTGTATGTACTTCACTACATCTATTCAAATGAATTTGTAAAGTTTTCTATTTTGGATATTTTTAGCATGAGCTGTTTTCACCAAGATAAAACGGTTATTTATTTATTTTCTTCAATAGTTTTGCTCGAGTAAAATAATTATAATAATTTATAATCGGTTTTCAACATAATCATGCATGCCTGCAAGCATGATCCATTGCAAACTGCAAAGTACGCTTGATTTAAATGAAAAGAAATCTATATCTTACATTAGTAAAAGTCACCCTTAAATTATTATAGAAGATATTCAGTATGAAAGGAAGGAAAAATCGAAAATCTCAATCATTGAAAGAAAACGAAAGTAGTTTAGAAACAAAATATTATATTTTAAGTGAAATTAAGATAAGGAGTAAAACTAAAACTGAAATAGCAATGATTTTCGAATTCCAAAAAGTACGCTCTCGGGTAGTGTGTCTAAAATATAAATATATGACTAATATTTCTATTTCTTAATCAAATTCTCGTCAAAAATGGCGGACAATGGTAAACAATCAGTTCGTTATATGTAAATCTGTTCGCTATAAAAACTCCTGATACAACAAACTAATTCGCTATATGCTTACAAGGAACTCCGGATATAAGGAACAGGTTTTGAATGTCCCAGTGAGTTGGTTATAAGCGGAGTTTACTGTAGTTTGCCGATTTAATGAATATGATATTGAATATTTGTAAAAGATAATTATATGCTTTTGAGTCATATTGCTTGAGTTGATTGTGCAGAGTTGCATTTCCATGAATGTGCAATTAATAATAGTTATACAATCCACAAGATTACAGGGGCGACTGCATCAATTGTCAGTACAGACAAGTGGAAATTTCCTATAATTTACTAGATAAATATCAAACAGACATGCAAAGAAATGCTTCAGATAAAAACAGAAAAGTAAGTCAAAATCAAATTTTGCCTGCCCTGAAGAATAGGGGTGTCAGGTAATTTTCCTTTTGTCAAATGTTTAAAGATAATCTAAACAATATGGGTGGCTTTATTTTTTAGCTCGACTATTCGAAGAATATGAGAGCTATTCTAGTCGCCCCGGCGTCGGCGTCAGCGTCCGCGTCGGCGTCTGCATTGGTTAAAGTTTTTTGTAAAGTCAAATATCTCAATTACTGCTTGAGATATTCAATTGAAACTTACAATACTTATTTATAGTAACAAGGTTCATCAGATTGACAAGTTTGATAACTCTGCCTACAATATTGACAGAATTATGCCCCTTTTTAACTTAGAAATTTTGGTTAAAGTTTTTTGTAAAGTCAAATATCTCAGTTATTGCTTGAGATATTCAATTGAAACTTACAATACTTATTTATAGTAACAAGGTTCATCAGATTGACAAGTTTGATAACTCTGCCTACAATATTGACAGAATTATGCCCCTTTTTAACTTAGAAATTTTGGTTAAAGTTTTTTGTAAAGTCAAATATCTCAGTTATTGCTTGAGATATTCAATTGAAACTTACAATACTTATTTATAGTAACAAGGTACATCAGATTAACAAGTTGGATAACTCTGCCTACAATATTGACAGAATTATGCCCCTTTTTAACTTAGAAATTTTGGTTAAAGTTTTTTGTAAAGTCAAATATCTCAATTATTGCTTGAGATATTCAATTGAAACTTACAATACTTATTTATAGTAACAAGGTACATCAGATTGACAAGTTGGATAACTCTGCCTACAATATTGACAGAATTATACCCCTTTGGAACTTAGAAATTTTGGTTAAAGTTTTTTTTGTAAAGTCAAATATCTTAATTATTGCTCGAGATATTCAATTGAAATTTAAAACACTCTTTTATAGTAACAATGTTTATCAGTTTGCAAAATTGCATAACTCTGCCTGCAATATTTGCAGAATATTTGCCCCTTTGAAACTTAGAAATTTTGGTTAAAGGTTAAAGGTCTTCAAAGATATTTACTTGAAACTTTACACATGCACTTAGGGTCATAATTGGAGGGTCATAATTGTATGTCACTGACCAAGTTCCATAAATTGCATTAAGGCTGATTCATATCCCCTTTTCTACTTAGTCTCTTGGTTAATGTTAACATGATAGTTTTACATATCTCAATAACTATTAAAAATATTTATTTAAAACTTCACATATGCATTTAGGGTCATAATTGTAGGTCACTGCAGACAATGATCCATAATTATGTCTCCCCCACCTCGGGGGGAGACATATTGTTTTTGCCCTGTCCGTCCGTCAGTCCGTCCGTCCGTCAGTCCGTCCGTCCATTCTTCGTTTCCGGACGATAACTAGAGTTCCTTTTGACCTACAGCTCTCAAACTTCATAGGATGAATGGTCTTATTGAGCAGATGATCCCTATTGTTTTTGGGGTCAGTAGTTCAAAGGTCAAGGTCACAGTGACGGTTTGGTCAATTTCTCGTTTCCGGATGATAACTAGAGTTCCTTTTGACCTACAGCCCTCAAACTTCATAGGATGATTGGTCTTATAGAGCTGATGATCCCCTATTGTTTTTGGGGTCAGTAGGTCAAAGGTCAAGGTCACACTGACTGTTGGTCAATTTCTCGTTTCCGGATGATAACTAGAGTTCCTTTAGACCTACAGACCTCAAACTTCATAGGATGATTGGTCTTATAGAGCAGATGATCCCTATTGTTTTTGGGTCAGTAGGTCAAAGGTCAAGGTCACAGTGACCGTTGGTCAATTTCTCATTTCCGGATGATAACTAGAGTTCCTTTTGACCTACAACCCTCAAACTTCATAGGATGATTGGTCTTATTAATCAAATGATCCCTATTGTTTTAATGGTCAGTAGGTCAAAGGTCAAGGTCACAGCGACCGTTGGTTAATTTCTCCTTTCCGGATGATAACTAGAGTTCCTTTAGACCTACAACCCTCAAACTTCATAGGATGATTGGTCTTATTGAGCAGATGATCCCTCTTGTTTATGGGGTCAGTAGGTCAAAGGTTAAGGTCACAGTGACCATTGGTCATTTTCTCATTTCCGGATGATAACTAGAGTTCTTATCAGTGAGGACATTTAACTATTATTGATATATCAGTGATATATCAGTTGTCTGGTTTTATATACTCTGTTCTTTTATCTCCATTTCCATTCCTGTTTCCATTCACAGTTATTCTCAGCAGTGGGGGAGACATGCGCTTTTTTACAAAAGCATCCTCTAGTTCTATCTTGCATTTAGGCTGATTTTTATCCCCTTTTTCAACTTAAAAATTCATGGTAAAGTTTTGCTTGTAAGCAAGGGTTTGTACCTTTTTTGGGACAATTTTATGCATTCATAATAATAAAGCAGTGATTAACTTGATAAAACATCTTAATAACAAGCCTTTGTACCTTTTCTGTCAAATTTATGTATTCATAGGTAATTAGTATTATTTTACTCATAGGTAATTAGTTTTATTTTACTCAATTAAACACCCTTGTGACATTACCTTCCGAATAGTCAAGCCAAAAATTAGCTCTTTTGTGAACTTAAAAAATTTAACATTATAAAGGCTCTTTTACTATCAAGCACTTAGAATAGTCGAGCATGCTGTCCTACCGACAGCTCTTGTTGTATGAAAAATTTCCCTCTGTATCTGTAAAATAGCCCTATAAGGAGCAATCTAATAAAAAAAAGGGGAAACATAGTGCATTTAATCTATAGGAAAAAAACAATAAATGTTCCGAATCAAATTAACCTTGAAATGTTAAGGATAAATATGAATAGGTAACAATAAGCAAATTTCAGAAGTTTTTATTTATTTCAAAAACTATGGGATTGAATTGCTGCAAGAATTCAAAATTGGCAATTAATATAAGTTAATGACGTTAAGCATCGTTTTCTTATGCCAGTATTTATTTCTTTTTATAAGGAAGCCCAAGCAAATTGATTCTGAGATATTACGCACTATGAAAGTGTATCACAATGTTGGTTATGCCCCAAATCCTGGGAAGGAAAGAAGAAATCAGATCCCATACACAAAGGGTACAGAAGGCACGGCAAAGGGGAAATCTAACATACCAGAATCACCCCTGGGCCGAGGTAAGCATGAAGAATGTGTTTTGTTTATTTTCAGTATTTTGTGCACCCTTTAATGAACTCTTTTTTAAAACTTTATTAAAGGGACTCCCCTGAGTTTTAAATTTTATGTTTTTAGGACTTTTTTTACCTCAGTAGAGCTATTTTAATCATAAATAAACCAAATTTGGAAAAAGTTGTCAAAATTGCCAAACTAGGAATTTTGACACCAGTGGGACATATTACAATTTCAAGTGATTCAGAATGGGCCTGTTAACAGGACCTGTTGAAAGATTGAAAAATGCCAAAAAAATACAAGCTTTCATTTTCTGGTTTACTAGGTTAGTAACAGTATTTCAGTAAATATAAGCAGTAGTTACCTGGTTATAGAGAATATTTATATTTTGAATATTGCATTTGGTGTTCTCTGAGTGAAATATATTTAAAATATAGCATTTGGTATACTGTTAGTGAAATATATTTCAAATACAGCATTTGGTGTTCTCTGGGTGAAATATATTTTAAATATAGCATTTGGTGTTCTCTTTGTGAAATATATTATTATCTTAGACAGAAAGAAATAAATAACCTCTTTATCATATTTATTATAAATATTATTCTGTATTTGATTTATTTAAGGAGATGACCCATTTATGGCGATACCAAAGCGATTTAGAAAGGTGGATCTTAAGTATTCAAAGCTGGGCTTGGAAGATTTTGACTTCAGACATTATAATAAAACACATTTTGCTGGACTGGAGATTCATATACCTAATGTTTATTGTAATAGCATGTTGCAGGTATGTTGATATATCTTATACTTACATTTACATGTAATTAATAAGTAATTTGTAATCATACTGTGTAATCAAAATTTTACATGTAATTGATCCATATATTTATCATTTATGATTGTAAAAAGTTACCTTTCTAAAATTAATCTGCTTTCTTGAAACAACGCGTTTAGTATAATTGTGTTTGAGTGACACTAACACTTTGAAGGTTATATAGCGACTTTCCAGCTTCACTGGTGGAGGAATAAGAGATTAATACACGGCAGAGTAGGGCCGGAAGGTGATAATCGGCCCGCAAAATAAATAATGGCCCCGAGGGCATTATTTATTTCAGGGCCGATTATCACCTGCCGGCCCTACTCTGCCGTGTATTAATGTCTTTAATACACTTGGTAGATCTAATAGTAGAATTTTTCTAAAAAAATACTTTGGAATTTCTTTCGTTGAAATTCCTGTCTGCATTTCTACCGTAATGTACAGTACAGTAACTTCCATAGAGTTGTTTACTTTTTGTATGTTCAAAGTACACTACTGTACTGTAAAATCTATATTTCGTTTTTTCGGAATGAATTTGTCGTATTATTTCTTTAAATTTCAATAGTAATAAAACTGTGTGTGTACGAAATACGCTTAAGCTTTCATAATAAAATCAAGCGATTCATGCTTAAAACCTACTTTCACTTTTATAGTTTACTGTTTGATGACGTAAAATGTGACGTCATTGTTTCACTTTGTGCACGTGCACATGTTCAGCGGGCTGATAACTAGTTCTCGGCCCCGGGCCGCAAACTCATAATAGGTCACGTGACACTCATAATCAGTTGAAATCATAGGCGATTTTGTTTCTATATATAGTAACAAGTGTATTTATACCTCAGGTGCCCTGACATGCATTTTTTCAGGCACAAATGGGCACCTGAATGGAACCATCAGCGTTCCATAAGCTAACTTGCAACTTCCTCATGTGAAAAATTTTAAAGTCCCTGGCAACATTCAATCCTACAGTGGTGAGGGAAAAATGGTTTGAAGTTAACAACATTCATCACTTGGCCATGGATTCCTCTTAGCAAACAGTATACCTCTCTTTCACAAAATAATTCAACAAAACAAGAAAAACTTGAAGCTATAGGGATGTGTTGCAGATAAATTTGAAGTCAATGACTTTAACCCCTTAAGCCTCAAAGTAATCTATATTTTACTTTATATTATAATTTTCAGATATTTTACTTCATTGAGCCACTAAGAGTTAAGTTACTGAACCACCTGTGTGATAGAGAATTCTGCCTGTCTTGTGAACTGGGTTTCCTATTTCATATGTTAGATAAACAGAAAGGTCAGACTAGTCAGGTAAAACTATATTTTTAAATCTTTTGCAAATATTCTAGTGTTTTTGTATGAGGTGAAATAGTCTGTAAGTATCTTTTGTTTGGAATTATGATTTAATCATTTTTGATATGAAGGAAAAGGATCAAGTTTGGACCTTGGTTGCAAGTGGTCTTCAATAAAAGTTATGGGACAGGCAAGTTTAACTAATAGTATTGTGGTCACTGTTTTTATCTCCTTTTTTCTTCCACACATGGACATGAATATGTATTTTCTACATTTATATGAAAAATTTACTTATTTTGAAAACTGTATTCAGGTTTGACTAAGTGTTCTGTCTGCTCTATTAATTGATTATTTATATTTAATTATTTTGAGTACAGACTTCTTTTAAGCAAAAATCTGGAAAAAGAGTGATCTTTGGAAGCAGTAAAATCAGCACAATTACATGAAAATTGCAGACTCTGTTTGATTGAGTCTGTACATGAGTCTGTTTGATTGAGTCTGTACATGAGGGATAATGAAAAAGGGGAACATCTCTTATGCTCCCCTAGCACTGGCTTGAGCGGCACTTAAGAGAAGTATTCAGTTATCAACGCTCAATGTGCTGCAGTTTAAGACTTGTTACATCAGATATTCACTTTAAATTCTGAAAATAGGAGTAGACCAATTCAGATTCGTTGTAAATAAACCAAAAAAATGATTTATTCACTCTGGAATTGATATAATAATGTGTTTTATAAAAGACTAAATTAGGTAAAATTAGCATTCATGGTGGGCCAAAGTTGTAAGACCTGTAATTTTATCAATTTCAGGCGAGTAATTTTTTGAGGGCATTCCGTACCTTGCCTGAGGCTGCAGCGTTGGGTCTTGTACTAGCAGAGAATGAGGAAGTGGCGGGACGGACAAATCTCGGACGATTGATCCAAAGCTGGCAGAGGTTCATGCATCAGCAGATACATTCTGTAAGATTCATGCTAATTTTCTTGAAAAAAAGTTAAAAGTGAAATAAATGTATTGTAAAGTGAACAAAGTAAATAATTTACACATTGCAAGCAGCACCTGCAACCCACGTAAATTATCAAAATAGCCCTGACTGCATAAGTAACGCACTAGAAAAAGGTGATAAATACTGCAAAATCAGTTCTTAATCCCACATAATATGTTAATAATTACTTGAATCTTAAATCTTTCTATTTTTCTTTAAATCTTAGACATTCTTCTCAAGTTTAATTTTCTTGAAATATTTTGGCTCATCTCCAGCCATGCAGCTTTAAGAATATTGAATTTTTTTTATCTCTACAAGGAAACCTCACCAAGGCCTATGATAGAAAATAAGCTGGAGGTGCCCGAAGTTGAGAAAGAAGAAACAGTCGTTGAAGGTGCCACAGCAGAAGCTCCCCCGCCAGTAGAGGAACCTGAAAAACCTGTAGAGGAGAAGGTAGAAAAGGAAAAGGAGGTGAAGAAAGAGGAGCCAAAATCATCAAAGTCCAAGAAGAAAAAGAAAAAAGGCAAGAAGGATAAAAAAGAGGATAAAGAAGCAAAAAAAGCTGCTGCTACAGAGACTACACAGGGGAGTGTCACAGAACAGCCAGCAGAGAAACCTGAGGGGGAGGGTACTGAAACACCTGTGGAGTCTCCAAGAGAAGAGAAAGAAAAGTAAGATTTGACTTTCCAAGGCCCATAACTCTAACTTTGATTTTGACAGAATTAATTGCCCTTTTTGAACTTAAAATATTCTACATTATTCAGGCCATTGTTTTGCTATCAAGCTCTGAGTATAGTCGAGCATGCTGTCTTACTGCCAGCTCTTGTTTAACTCTAGGATATGTGATATCATTTTGTTCACATGAAAGTTCTTGAAAGAGTAAAAGATTGCCAGAAAGTTTACAAAAGATTGACCAATGAGCTTGTCTTTGAAGGTATATGCTTTAAAATAATACCAAGGTATTATTTTGTAATTACATAACTGCAGAACATGTCTTAAATCTACTGTTTTGATAGGTCAGTTTACAGCTACGAACCAAAAACATCCAATTAGATATTCAGAGGTTAAGAATCAGTGTCTACTCTTTATTCACATAATCTTGCTCAGTGATAAATAATTATTCAGTTACATGTATTTTGTTTTTACAGGAAAGATGGGTCTGTGGTCAACGATATATTTGGTCTGGACACCGTGACAACATTGAGGTGTCGCTGCGGCCAGGAAAATACGAGGCAGAACACTACAACACTTGTGAATCTCAATTATCCCGACTGCTCTGGACAAGGTAACACTGAAGGGAAATTTAATACATATATTCTATATTGGACCCTGTATAGTCCATTATTACATATATTGGACTGTTGGGTGAATTTGACCTTTTTCATGTACTGTCAGAAATATATAAGGCCCTTTTTAACAAAAGTATCGGAATTATATCTGTACAGAGCTAATAAAATGAAACATACTGATATTTTTTGTCAGAATATACTATTTGGTGACATTTTTCATTTCCTGAAAATGATTATGATATAGAACAAATAGGTTACATTGTTCTGTTCAATATGGGATATAATTGGATGAGTGCACAGTCTAAAAGTTCCCTTATTGTAATGGTGAGTGCTAAAAAGTGTCGTACAAAAATGGAACAGACTTATGTTTCTTGTTAGAATATATTGTCTGGTCACACTTGTCTTCAATATGAGTGAGGTAGAGAAGTAGGTTACATTTATGCATTGTTCTGTACAATATGGGATATATTTGGCTAAGTACACAGTTGAAAAATTCCCATACTGTACAGGTAGGTGCTAAGTGACCTACATATACATGTATAAAGTTCAACCCTAATTTTTCGGACTTTCGGGGATTGAAAATTTACTTCAAATAATCCATGGGTTCGAATAACTGAAATCCGAATATTGTGATTAGACGAAAACTACTCCCTTTTGGCCAATCATAGCAAAAAATTACCGTTTACAACAAACTTGTTCGGGAATTTGAATAAAGGGTTGTGGAATAACCGGGGTCGGACTGTATATTGAGGTGGAACTGTTATTAGAAGAGAGGCACAGTCGAACTCCGTTCGCTCGAACTCGGAGGGCCTGTGCAAATTTGTTCGAGAGATCGGTAGTTCAAGCCAACCGAGGTTGAACTATTATTACGTTGATCATATGCCTAAAGGTTTTCCTAGCTTACATTCCGGACCTCTCTCGAATGATAAATGCGTTCAATCTATAATTGTTTGTTAGTACATCTGTTCGTAGAATATTTCATTTCAGAATTATTATCCCAATGTTATAAATTAAGTATTAACAGTTACGGCTGTGTTAATCTATAATTCCCCATACAAATAAAATTGGGGGTTTTTTGGGGTTGAAATTTTTCATTGGGCAATACACCAAACTTGTTGAACAATGGTTCAAAAATATATTATATGTTTTATAATGGGATGAATTTTAATTTCAAAAGAAAAAACAATACAATATTTAAATTAAAAAACATTTACCAGCAGCATCTATTTGTATCATTTACCCTAAAATTAAACACACATACAAGTAATCATTCTATAATTAGATAACACTGTTTACGATTTCACTTTACAAGAACCACGGTTTTTGTAATTAAAGCCGTCCGGGTAAACGTCAATTCTTTTTTGGCATGCATTTTTCATTTTATTTCACCAAGTTATTTTCTTTTTTATTCGTTACCCAATAAATGGCAAAATCAAACAATATTATTCCATACAAATTTAAATCGGTTACAAACACCTCTTATTTTGTATCAATTAACCTTAATTACCTTTGTCAACGATCACGAGGTCGTTTTAAAAACAATGTGTCCGCCCACACTGTCATTTATTTAGGAACAAAACCGACTTGGTCCCTTTTTGTGTTCGAACCGAAAAGGGGTGTGATTTTCGCTATATTTTCTGCCGAAGGGACCAGAAATCAGGTTCGAGATTCGAGCGATCGGTGTTCGAGCGATTCCGAGGTAGACCAATATATATTTTAATATAGGAATTTTGCCCGGGGACTGGGCGATGAGTTCGACGAAGGGAAAGGTATTCGACGATCCGAGTTCGAGCGAACGAAGTTTAACTGTATTTGATTTCTGGAAAAAAAAGGGTTAATTTGTTTTTCTTTTTTTTTTTTTTTAAGGTTTTTAAACAAGGGACCAGTCCCAAAGTGAGTTTTTGTTTCAGGTTTTTGGAACACATCTGACGCTGGAAAACAGAACACAAAAAAGTTGGTGGCAAAAAAAATTGTGCTAAATATCAAACAACATGTTAAAAAAATATTTTTTATAATCATTGATCTTTCTGTTTCTTTTTTAAAGCCTCCCTGTGAAGTCACAAAGTTGGACAGGGTTTGAGCTTTTGTGATCGCTTTTCGTCCGGTCTGTCCGTCGTCCGTCCATCTCCGTCCGTAAACTTTTTATTTAAATTTGACAATCTCCTAATAAACCCTAAGGGCCAATTTTCATCCCAAACTTTCACAGGAATGTTCCCTTTGGTGGTCACCTTTTAAAATTGTTCAAAGAAATTTAATTCCATGGCAGGGAACCATGGCAACCAAATGAAAAAACTTTTAAATTCTTTTCTTTTTAAAAAAACCCAAAAGAGCTAAGAGGCTTAAGATATTTAGCTGAAAAACATCTTCTAATGAGTGTCTACCAAGTTTGTTCAAATTAAAAAGCCCTGGGGTATTGATTTTTTGGCCCGCGCCTAGGGGGTCATTGATTTTTCCCATTATGCCATATAGTAAAAACTTAAAAAATCTTCTTTTTAAAAGAAAACTCAGGAGCTAGAGCTAAAGGATATTTAGCAATGAAACATGTTCTTTAATGGGTGTCCTACCAAATTTGTTTTAAATAAAAGCCCTGGGGTCAAAATTTGGCCCTGCCCCCCGGGGGTCATTGATTTTCCTTTATGGTGGTATAGCAAAAAGTTAAAAAAATCTGTTTTTGGAAAAAAGGACCCAAAATAGCTAGAGTTTAGATATTAAGCATGAAACATTTTCCCTAGTAAAGTTCTTACAAAGTTTCTTTCAAATAAAAGCCCTGGGGTCAAAATTGGGCCCCTGCCCAAAGGGGTGTCATTGTTTTTTTAACTATTTGTATAGTAAAATCTTAAAAAAAATCTTTTTAAAAAACCCAATGAGACTAGGAGCTTAGATGTTTAGGAGGAAACATCTTTTTTATGGATATTGGTCCAAAACAAGTTTGGTTTCAAATAAAAAGCCCTTGGGGGTTAAAAGGGTCCTGCTGGGGGGGGGGAGGAAGCAGGGGGGAAATCATTGTTTTTTCATTATATGTGTGCGTAAAAACTTAACATCATTGTTAAACATTTTCTAATGGGTGTCTTTCAAGTTTTGAAAAAAAAAAGCCCTAGGGTTTTTAAACTGGCCCCGCTCCAGGGGCCTATATACAGGTGAGCGACCTCGGGCCATCATGGCCCTCTTGTTGTTTATGTGTATTAAAGAAAGCAGATCTAGGGAGTTATTTTAAATTTAGTCTATAGACGTAGCATTGCAATTTGTTTACTCTTTTGTCAGATTGATCTAAAAAAACTTAAAATAAGTGTACAGTGTAATGCTTTGTTGGATTTTACCATGTTTCATTCAGTCACCATAATCATTTTTTTTTCTGCATAATTTTCTGCATATATTTGCATAATATGTATATATAAGTTATAAGTAACAATCTGTTGTATTTGTTAATATTTGTAAATTGTACTAAGTGATTATTAATAATCTCTTTTCCAATTATTGTGTAAAAATAAAAGAATAAAAGCATTATTCATTAGAAATACATTGCAGTTACTTCCCTTTGATCAATGTTTATAATTTTTACATTTTTATGGACTTAACCCTGCATTGCATTAGAACTTTCCATTGTTATTATAAGGGTTTCTTATCAAAATTTTGAAACTGAGTAGTTAATATTAAAGAGCCTGGTATTTTCCACTATCAGTCATTGAGTTAAATACAATCTTCTAATGTGTGTGTGTGGGGGGGGGGGGGGGGGAGAGAGAGAAAATATTGTTGTTTTTTTTTTCATTAAAGATATTGTATTCTCATCTTTGAGAATAAATAATTTTATTGCAGAAATATGCAATTCTAACTTGAAATAAACGATGTAAAAACCACATATGGAAAGATGCATTCACTATTATAGGTCAGGTAAAGTTTGACCATGATGTAACTTTTTTCATTACACAAAATGACATCTTGATATGCTGAACTCAAATTTTAAGATATTTTGTACACCTGATCATTTCAGCAACAAAGTAAAGAAGTGCTCACACTGCCAGATGTGTTAGCTTTAAACTGCCAGCTGGAGAATCCGAGAGATCTGGAGTTCTGGAAGATACAGCTTATGGTGAACTTTTCAATATTGTATCAGTCTTTTTTTTTCGTCTACATTTATAGGAGTTTATTTGTCTTGTAAGGTCCATTATCTAGTAAAAGACTAATTTTGGTTACAAAAAATAATACATTCATGACCATGTTTTCTAAAATGACTCAAGTAGTGGTTATAAGTACTTAAAGGGACTCCACATCGGTTTCTTGACGTGACTGGGCTTGAAATATTACTTCAAGATGTTTATACCACTTGATGTTAGTCAGTACCAAATTTAAAGATTAATAGTACTTTAATCAATTCCAGGGGGGGGAGGAGATGGGGAGGGGATGCCCCAAATCCATTACCAATAACATGTGTGCTAAATTCCATGCCACTTGTTCTCTCTGTTTTTATCAAAGTGATTAATTTTTGCTGTACAAAATGAACTAAAAATGAAAAGCATAATTATTATAACTTAAAATATGCAAAGCTTTGCACTAAATATTGATTGTCAATTTAATTCTGAGTATATTTCTTTATCATCTGTTTCAAATTTTTCCTTTTTAAGTGCACAAGTAGATCAATTTAAGATTTTTAAATTTTATGTTTTTAATCTTTTGAACCTCAGTGGGGCTTCTTTAAAATCTTATAAAAATGTTATCTCTCACATGCTATGACAGTTTGGTATACATGTATGTTGTATGTTACAGTTATTAAAGCAGAAAGATGAAGGTGAGAACTCATCATCAACATCATCATCCCCTATCCCACTACAGTCAACTACGGTCATGTGTAGATATGGTAGAAAATGTACAAAGAAAGGCTGCAGGTTTAGGCATGAGCAAGATAATAGGTATGTTAATAAAGAATAACGAATGTTAAGGATGTTTACTTCAAACCACTTGTCTCTCTTTGCTGTAGGTCAGAGCCCCGTCTTTGGATGTCTCATGTTAGAAAGCTATCCAGCTAGATTACTGAATGTCAGTGGTCCTAGATAGATACCAGTTTGTGCCTTAGATAATGTACAGAAAGGCACCTGAGATCTTCCTCCACCAATAAAGCTGGAAAGTCTTCATATACCTATACTGTGTTGGTTCAACGTTAAAAATACCTTTATAGTAGTTTCAGGGGAAAGATGTTGTTTTTTTCCTGAGCAAGAAACTGTACACTCATTGCTTAATACTGGTTGGTTCACATCTGAAAGTGTTTCAGTAAGCTTATAGCTTCCAACGCACAATCAAACTAAAATAAACTAGTATAAACTAAACTAAATTTTCAGTCAAAGATGGATTAATTTTGGGGGGCAGGATTTTGTAAAGGGAAAACTTGGCTAATTAATTCAGGTTAACAGTTTGATATAATCATACTGTTTTGTATATTATCTTTGATTGATGAATCAGCAATTACAGTCAGATATGCATCAAGCTTATGTCGGAGATTTAAGAATGTTAAACTCTCTCGTAAATTTATGGAAACAGCTTGCTTTTATTACATACACAGGTTTTAAGTCACGTTCTCAGTTTTTCTATGTCAAACTGTCTGAGTTATATTGGTATATTATTTTTGTTCACTGTATTTTTTGTTGTTTTTTGTTTTGTTTTAGTTTTGTGTGTTAAAGCTGCACACTTGCAGATGAGTTTAGAAATTATTTAAATAACAAAATAAAAAAAAATTCATCAAACTCAAAAGTTTTCAGAAATATTAAAAGAAAAAGTTCACTATCAATATGATTTATTGCATGTGTATGGTAGAATTCACTATTTTATCGTCGTATTTCTACACAGTTTCTATGGCGAGCTTTGACAATATTTCAACAAATCATAAATGCAAGGTATATGTATGGTGAATACCTGTGCAAAACCATGATAAATTGAAATGTTATAAAATCATTTAGGATTGCTACTCTTAAAGTTGAAGTTTAAGTTCTTTAAAGTTGTAAACAATACTGTAATCTTTGTCCAGAAAATTATCAAGTACCAGTCAATTTTACCCTTCCCATCCCTACCACCCACCCATCTTTAGGACGGTGTGGGGGAATATCAGGAAATAGAGCCATCTTTTTACCCTCAGTCTGTCCCTGCATTGCTGGGACAATGCTGTGGGTGTGTTGGTTTTTTTGGGCAGGTTGATCCTGTGGTTTTATTGAGACATGTCACATGACCAATTTGAAGTGCAAGGTTATTTAAATTGGGATTTTACCACTTTAAATAGGGAGGGGGTGGGTATGAACTAATAATACCAAAGTCAGTCTACACAACTTTCTGATTATAAGGTTAGATGCTCGAGATTTGCAATTGATTGGTGCATTAATATAATGATAATGGTCTCTCTTTTTCTTGTAGCTCCTGGTTACAAGATGACATCATGAAGATACACACAGATGACGAGAATGATCCAGTATGGATACCATTTGGTCTACAGGTTAAATTAGAGAATGGTAAACTGAAAATAGAGGAGTTCCCTGATGATGAGCCATTACCAGATGATCTAGGTATGTTGGTCTTGTGTTATTTTGTTAGTTGGATTGTATTGGGTTAATCGAAGAGCTATATTGGCCTGTTGATCCAGGTATGTTGGTTTGTGTTATTTTGCTGGTTGGTTTGTATTGGGTCATTCGAAGGGCTGTATTGGCCTTTTGATCCAGGTGTGTTGGTCTGTCTTCTTTTGCTGGTTGATTTGAATTGGGTCATTCAAAGGGCTGGTTTGGCCTGTTGATCCAGGTATATTGGCCTGTTTTATTTTGCTGGTTGATTTGAATTGGGTCATTAGAAGGGCTGGTTTGGCCTGTTGATCCAGGTATGTTGGTCTGTGTTATTTTGCTGGTTGATTTGAATTGGGTCATTAGAAGGGCTGTATTTGCCTGTTGATCCAGGTATGTTGGCCTGTCTTATTTTGTTAGTTGGTTTGAATTGCGTTTTCGAAGGGCTGTATTGGCCTGTTGCATAATACAGTGATAGTAACTGTAAGTTTTTATTTGTCAATGCGAAGAGCTATGTTGGCCAAACTAGTAGGTTTGTATTGGCTCATTTGGATTATCATATTGGCCTTCTGTATGTAATAGTCTATAGACTGGCTAATTATAAGGACTGTATTGACCTCATGCATGATGCAGTGTAAGAAAGTTTATATTTGTCAGTTGTAATTGCTAAGTTGGCCAGGCGTGTAGGTTTGTATAGGCTCATTTTCATTATCATTGGGCTATTGTGCGTAACAGTCTATTGGCTCATTATAAAAGATGTTTTGGGCTAGCCTATGGAATATTATCCTGTTTGCAGAATTGTATTGGCTCATTATAATAATTCTTTTATTTTATACTGAAGAATTAATTCCAACAGTTTTCAAGCTAATGTGAACCCTGACGTGTTAAACATTTTAAAAGCTTTATTCATCTCTTTTTTTTAGATCCAAACACAAAATATTACGAGTTGCATGGTACAGTATCCCATATCAAGGACAGTAAGGGTGGCGGCCATCTTGTCAGCCATATTAAAGTGGGAGAAACGTTCCACCAGAGGAAAGAAGGTGTAACAACCACACAGTTTTATCTCTTTAATGACTTCTCTATCTCAGATGTGGAAAAAGTGAGTTTTCTTTTAATTATCAAGTTGATACATTTTTAGCTCGATTAGGAGCTATTGTACACACCCAGGCATCAGTGTCACACTTGGTTATATTTGGTATCTCCAAAACTACTGAAGGGAATGCGTTGAAACTTCACACACTTATTTTAGAGCCGAAATAGAAGGTCGCTGTTCATAACTGTGACATGGATTTTGACAGAATAATGACCCTTTTTGAATTTAGAAAATTTTACATTATCCTGGCTCTTGTTTTACAAATAGTCAGGCAATTTGTCCTACTGACCTTGGTGTTTTGAGCACTGTGTGTTTGAATCCCACCAAAAACTTTTGGTTTGTCATGTGAGAAAGCTATCCAGGTAGAACATACCATATATCCAAGTTTTTTTTGCTAGTATCTAATTTTCACTTTATTCACCTGCAATGAATATAATGAAAAATAGATTCGCTAAATTTTCCTTCCAGCAGAATCACTAAAAAATTTAATTTGCTTCAAAAACTGCCGAAATCACGAAATTTGCAGTACACGAAAATAACCTGATTTATAATATGGGGTTCTACCTGAAATAATGCATGGAAGGGGGGTTGGGTTTGGGGATCTCCATAATATTATTAACTATACAGTGTTTGGTAAAAGTTTAGATATAGGTTTGGTTCAAATGTTTTGATCTTGTCTCCATTTAGATTGTCTCCCTTTACTTAAAAATGTCATTTCTGTCTGATTTCTTCTCTAGATTATGATTGATTTATTTTTATTGTTTTTTGTCTACTGCTGTTACTATCCCAGAATTTTCCCATTTATTATAGGGAAATGCCACTGGCTTAAATTGTGAAGAAGTAGACAGCATTTTGGGAAAGTTTAAAAAGTTTTAGTTTAAGAAAAAAAAAAAAAAACGTTAAATATGATGTTAAGTAAAAATAATTCAAACTTTTCTCACACCTTTGATTTAATTTAGCTGCTCTTGGGATTTTTTTGTAGACTTGAAAATATTTGTATATTTACAGGAAGAGGCTGTCCGGTTTAATCTGGAATGGAGGGTACCTTGTACACTCTACTTTATTCGTAGAAACATCAAACAGTTCTATGATATCACAGGTGAGTCTGACCAACTGGCTCTTAACTCTTTATTTCTATTCTAGTGTATTTTAGGAGAGACCAAATACATGTAGCTTATAATATTAGTAGTTAGAAGGGTTAGAGTCAATGACTTCTAATCCAGTTACCTCTCTGGCATGGGTTCGATCCCCGGGAGATGCTTAGGTAGTTTAGCGCGGAGGAAGGTAGTCTAGTACTGGTGTAACTCTCCAGGGGTGAGTAACCAGAAGCTTTCCTTAAAATCACGCTAACGAAAGCGTTAGCGATCGCGTAACGAACACGTTAGTTATTTTTACGATTGTTTTTGTTGCATAACCAGACAGCATCGTTACCATATCGTTAATCAGTCGTTGGTAAAATTCATTAACGAAATCGTTGTGTAATCGTTAAGGGTATACACAACATTTTGGCACCACATGTTATTAACTTTTCCTGCATAGATTACATTGCATGTACAAATAATTGTTTATAAATTATTTATAAATTGTTTAAAAATGTTTTTACAAATGTACAACCATATATCTGTGAACGCACAACTGCTTCAAAGAAACAGTTGACACTCTTTATAAATCTTTTTGTTTGTTTGTTTGTATGTTTGTTTGTTTGTATGTATGTATATCATACGTTCGCAGTAAAACGCATCTAACGAAATCAATCCTAAGTCGTCTGATATACAATACGATACAACCTGTAAAACCTGTTAAGACCGAAATATTCTGCATCTTAAAGATTAGGCAATGAACTTATAATGTTAAACTTTATTGTATTGTATTGTATCGATACAATACAATACAATACAATAAAGTTTAACATTATACAACGTTCTAGCAAAATATATAGACAGGAAACAACTGAACATTTTGGATGTGCAACAAAATAGAAAAGGAGAGACTAGATATAAGTTCATTGCCTCATCTTTAAGATGTAGAATATTTCGGTCTTGACAGGTTATATGTGTGTGATGAAAAAGAGTAATACACTATTTAAGAGTAAATGTTAAAGTGCAAAGTAAATTAAAAACAATAACACTTGGATACTTTTCGAGATAAATATACAATGATAGAAAAAAGTAAAATAATCTCTTATCTGCTAAATAAGTAATATAAATATATGATTTGATATTTCTTTGTGATGAAATGTACATCAATAAAGATTTATACACAATTTAAGAGACATTGTTAATTATATTTCCTTTTAAAGGCAAAGTATCATTTTTTTAATAAATGTGAATTTTTTTTTTAAGAATAAGGTAATAAAATAGTTTAAAACTTAATGATTATTGGCCAATGGCAATAATATCTTCGCTTATATCTTAATCGATGCTTGCGAAGAACTCTTTCAAAAATATTGACGCTAAATAGTAACGTAATTTTTGTTTTGATTTTAATGAATGAACTGCTTTTTCTTTTAAAACGTTCTTTACATGACCTTTGTTACACACTGGTGAAAATTTGAAAATTACATTGGGAAACAAAGCAAGTTTCGATTAATTATCTTTACTTTTCATGAAATAGAGGTAAACCATTAATATAAACCATATGAAACGTATATAATAGTTTTATTAAAATACTCAGATGAATTTCATTATAACCAAAAACGTCAAAATTTATCCATATACTGTGTAATGCGTTCATTGTACATGAATGTGTTTATGCTGAATTCCTTAATTTCACTTTGTACATAGAACTAGTATAAGGTATAAGTGTTTTGAGTATTAAAAACTTGAAACTTTAATGTAATATTATATATATTTGATTCCATACATGAAAGAATGTTATGCGTAGTTAAACATGCATTGTTTAGAGAAATAAGGAAATATGAGGAAATGACACAGATACAAGAAAATACTATCACAGAAGATAGTGATCAACAAGTCGTGTATTAATGAAATAAATCAACCTCCTTAGAAGCATTCAAATATTTGAGAGTCCAAAGTATGTCAGTTTTCTAAATAATTGTCTGCGGAATGAAAAAACAACATCATTTGTATAAAGATACATTTGTATTTGGAATTATTCTAAAAATCATTTACGAAAGAAATGCTCACTCAAGTTTAATGAGTACAGTATGCGCCATTTATTATTATTGTTAAACTTAGCGTTAAAGGTAAATTCTAATGTATATTTACAGAAATTTCGTTTGGATCTGTGAGTTATTTATTGTTTATGTGAACTAAATTATAAAATTAAAAGGAATTATGACAAAATGAAAACTTATTTTGATATTCATCCGTTCTCTCACTACATACCATTGGATGGGCATAATGTTACTTTAACGTATTATTTTGAAAATGAATGCAGTAATAATGATAATAATAATAATAAATAAATGAATAAATAATTAAATAATAATAACTTTACACATTAAGACATATACAGATTGTAACACCATATTAAAGAACTTATTATCAGGAAAATAGAAAGAAAATTCGCTATAAGAAATAATATATACTCATAAAAAGTTTATTGAAAGAGCTTCACACGTTGTTTTTCCTTCAACGAAGGTCTAACGTGTACTCCGAGGTATTCGTTATTTAATGACAGTTTCGTTACAATTTTTGGTATTACGAACGTTTTGGGTTAGAGGGTAAATTACTAACTAGAGCTTAACCAAGGCTTAACGATGATTGTAACTCTAACGAATGCTTCTGGTTAATCACCCCAGAAACGATGGTTAGGAAACTATCCGCCTGTATAACTGAGAAACTGTTGGAAAAAGGCGTAAAATGAAACAAACAAACACCATGTTTGTTGATTTTTTTTGTGTTGATGTTTGAATGTATTCGAAGGACCGAAGGCTGAGTTTCTTACATGTACTAATTTTACATTCAATTTCGCCACAATGAGGCCAAAAACATTTAAGTTCATAAAACACATTTTGATCATCTGGTTAACAAAATTGGAATGAGGTCACTAAGAAACACCTTTTATTCACAGACTGTTACTAATTCAATGTATCTATAAAATTTATAAATGCAGCTTAAACTTGACTATTTGAAGAATAGTGGGGTTTGAAGAATAGTGGGACAATCCTACAATGTCGGGGCTTTCCCACGATGCTGGGGCTATCCTACAATAGCTGGGCTATCCTACACATGTCGGCATTCACATACATGTACAAGTTCATATCTGATTAGCTTGGCAAGATATTCACTTTAAACTTCTCACCTGTATGAGTAAAAATGTTAAATAGGTGTCTAAGTACCGTAAAGGGTGCGTCCATGGATGAGGGGTTAAGTTTGTTGACTTTTTAATCACTTGCCTCTCACTGCTGTAGGTTCAAGTGTCTCCAAATCCTCTCATGTGAGAAAGCTATCCAGCTAGCTAACCGAACATCATTGGTTCTTCTGTGCCTAAAATAATGCAAAAAGGGACACCTGAGGCTGAGGTTTTCCTCCACCAGTAAAGCTGGAAAGTGGTTCTTTTGAGATACCTGCTTGTGCCTCAAATAATTTATATAAGGGCAGCTGAGGTCTTATCCTCTTGTAATATTGGAAAGTTGCCATATTTCATATTTTTTCCCCTTGACTAAATGACATTCATCAAATGTCTCTCAAATTTCTCTGCTCTGTTCCCTATTCTCTACAGGGACAGTGTGACTCAAAACCCAAGAAAACAACAAAATAAAAAAATTTCCTTTGTCAATACAAGTATCCTTTAAATTGAAATTGTCACTTATAAAATTAATGGTCTTTTAAGGTCGTTTTCGGGAGTTTTCATATAGATATGTACAATCATATAGGCAGAATTAAAGTTGTTCAGTAGAATTTCTTTAAACTTGGCATGTTGTTAGAATATAGGCATGCTTGTGCTTGAATTTTTCTACAAAAGGTTAATTTAGGTCTCTAAACTGTACAATTGAAATTGAAAAGTTGACCATTCTGTGACCACCACAGTGTCTGCGTGACTTACTACCTGTCTACTGGACAAAAACAATATGAGCCGTGTCACGACAAAACCAACATAATGGGTTTGCGACCAGCATGGATCCAGACCAGCCTGCGCATCCGCGCAGTCTGATCAGGATCCATGCTGTTCGCATACAGACCCTATAACAAGTAAAGCAACTGATAGCGAACAGCATGGATCCTGATCAGACTGCGCGGATGCGCAGGCTGGTCTGGATCCATGCTGGTCGCAAACCCATTATGTTGGTTTTGTCATAACACGGCTCATATGTTCAATACATAGCAATGTTTATCTGAAGCAGAGATATCATCACATAGCTTTATTGTCGCCTTAGTGTAGTAATGGGATAACTCCTTATATAAAATAATAGGAGTTAACCTGTTATTGCACCAAGGTGACAGTATCTACTCAGTATCATAAATCTAACAAACATATGGGGACAATAAGTAAAAAAGTTCATTAGAGATTAACCTTTTAAGACTCTGAAACAGGTCTTCTCTATATAGGCAATTTGATATAAGTGTTAGTAAGTTGAGTTCATTGCCCTTTTGTTTTTTCTTGTTGATATAGCAACTTGTTTAGAGATAAAGCTTATTCCATATTGAACTTATATAAAATGCTTAAAAGGACTCCACTGAGGTTTTTTGATATGACGGGACTTAGAATATTTGTCCAAGTTTTGTTTACCAATTTAATGTAGGTTTGGATATAATAACTTGTGTGCAAATTGTCATATCATTCTTCCCAGAATTGTCATTTTTTTGTGCAAAATAACCAAAAAACTTGCAACACTTGTCTAAGAATCACACAAAAAAAAAAGATTTTCAATTTAATTCTGAGCAATTTTTTTTATTTTTTCCTTTGCATATTTTGTCCATTATAAGACTTAGTTTTTTCACTAATTTCTTGATATATGGAAAATTCCAAATTTAATGATTAAAGGAGTTTAAGGAGGCCCTTTAAGAGAAAGTGTAATTACATTGTTCATGTCATCAGTTTTGGTGTTAAAAATTCTATCTGTGAACTTAGGTTGTCATCTAGTGGGTTAAATTTTGACCTACTAGGTCTAGATAAAAAAAATTTCTTTATAAA